TCAAAGCCTCATCTATAGCTGTTCAAACCAAAAGCTTTTCATGTCTTTAGTAGGAAAACCTACTTTTTTGTAAACAAGTGGTTCATCTTCTAGGGGTATGATCCTTGCTTCAAATGAGATGTCTTGGGCCCTGTCTTGGTAAAGCCCTTGATGTGATTTGTGATGAGCAATGGATTCTAACTTGGTGTCTACAAGGATGTCATGTTACATCCATGAATAGTCATTGTTCATCCTAAACTGATATCTTGTGCATCCAAACTTACAGGTGAAGAGTTAGTGGGAGAAACATTAGAGAAATTAGTAACTGACACTGCAGAGAGGCCTCAGCCCTGACTGTCAAAGCCTACAGCAATCCAGGTTGCTACCAATACAGGATATCCAAGAAAGGACCCTGATACCCTGGCAAGGAGAAAAAATCTGGAGCAGAAGCTTCCAAGGAAACTTAGATTCATTTTCCTCCAAACCAACAAAATTCTGAGCATAACAAAGACACTTCCTTTTGATCCATTCTGCACCTACAGTCTTAGGATTGTGGTCGCAGCAAGGCACAGCCCACAGGCTGCAGCACACAATAGACTTTGGATTGCTTCCAAGTGCCTGACTTTGCAATAACACCAAGAAAAGCTCCCTGATTCCCTCAACAAACATCATTCACTGGGAGTGGAGACAGACATTTCAGTGACGAAGATCTGCCCACTGCTAGACAGATTCCAGAAGATCCAGGATCTGATATCCATGAACAAATGCTTGAGGCCAACCATAGTTCAGGGTGTCTAGCCACGGGGCCTTTTTGTCTCGCACATATGGGTCTCCCCATAAGTGAAGTCACATATCAGGTCTCCAGGTCTTTCTTCTGAGAGAATGGGACCATTGCCTGGAGCGAATGCAAGACCAGATACTGGTTCCCAGTCAGGTACTAGCTCTCCTAAGATGATGGCTGGCCAGAGAGAATGTCTGTAGGGGTCTTCCCATATGCCTTCCCGGCTTGCAGATTCTCACAACAGACACTTTTCTGAGGGATGGGGAGCACTTCTGGGACCCATAATGACACAGGGAATCTGGTGTTCTGGGGAAAGGAGCCACAGTATCAATCTCTTGAAGCTCACAGCTGTTAAATTAGCTCTACTGAGATTCCAGAGCTACCTAGAGGGCAAGAACGTTTTGGTCCAACCAGACAACACAACCACAGCTGCATACATAAACAATCAAGGGGGAACAAGCAGTGTAGCGCTACATGCAGAAGTAATGGATAGACTGTGGAATGGGCAGACAAAACTCTCCGTTCTCTGAAGACAATACACATCAAAGGAGAACTGAACCAAAAGGCAGACTGAGAGCACTAAAGACTTATATCGGGTTTACAGAATCCACAAGGAGATTGGGCTTCCTGTTCATTTCCTTTAATCCTGAGCAGTTTAGGGCTTAGAGTATCCAAACTATCTCTTACTAGATGGATTAGACGTACATCGTTGAGGCATACAAGCCCTCTGGTCCACCTTTTCCAGAAGGAATCAAGGCACATTTACAAGACCCATTGCAACCTCATGGGCCCAAAAAGCATGTGCTCCACCGCAGATATCTCTAGGGCAGCCACATGGCCATTGGCCAACACTTCTATCAAACAGTATAAGGTGGACTTTCTGTCTCTACAGAGCACTCCTTGGACAAGAAGGTGCTGCATGTGGTGGTCCAGACATAACCTTGCCATTTGAGCAGTTCAAAAAAGCATAGCTTTCCTATTTTTTATGTTCACTTTGTATTTCTCCCTTCTCCTGTTCACTGCTCATTACTTCCCATATGAATCAGAATTGTGGGAGATGCTGGGCTTCAGAATGGAAAATTTCTAATCTGATAATTTCCTTTCTGCTAGCAGCATCTCCCACAGTTCTACCCAACCTGTGTGGCTTCACCGCTACAGGTTAGCATTTTATTTGGATAGTTGCTTCTTATCTAGTGGCCTAATGTACATAGTTAATTGATTGGCACTGAAATTATTGTTACTAATAATTGTCTAAGGTTTTTTTTCACAGCTTGGAATGAATCATCTGGCAGCAAGCAGGCGAAGGGGGTGTGGCTAGCACAGACTTCTGCAGCTTTAAATGACCTCCAGCAAATGCACACAGGAGGGGAATAGCCCATACATATCAGAATTGTGGGGATGCTGCTAGTAGAATGAAAATTATTGGGTACGAAATTTTCCATCCTGCTAATCCCAAGGACTATACAGAAAAAGGGGAGGTGGGGAACAATGGTAATATTGATAGCCCCTTATAGGTGGAGGAGTACATGATGGTTCTCTGACCTATTCAATCTAGCATGTATACCACTAATATACTTACTCTGCAGACAAGTTATTGTCTCTGAGATCAATCCTGTATCCAGATCCGGACAGACAGAACCTAGCTGCTTGGATTTTGAAGGAAAGTATCTAGGAAACACAGGCAACAAATAAGACATACTCCAAAACTTGGCTAAGAGTCAGGTACTGCTGCAGATGTCAAGTTGTGTCCCTGCATCAGCAGAAGTTAAACATATCTTAGAATTTCTCCAAGAAAGCCTCAATATGGGCTTCAAAGCCATCACGCTTTAAGGCCAAATATCCATATTAGCAAGTATTCTATATTTGAAAGAAGAAAAATGTCTGTATATATTGGACATCAGATGCATCTATTGGAAAGCCTTTCTGATACATTCTTCACACTGTCACAATCTAGCCCTTGCTGTACTAACTGCACCCTTTGGAACCTAGGAAGGAATTGTTAAATTCCATTTAAAACATGAGTGGCTGATACATCCACCACACAGAAGTCCTCTCAAAAGGATCTCAGTACTGTGTGATCCTTTTGGACAGAGCGGGCCTTTGGATGCTAGGTTGGTTCTTCCTACTAAATTAATTTCCATCTTACTAATACATATCAAG